CAAAAAATAAATATTACAAAAGAAAGAGAACAGACCTAAGAAAGAACTTTTCAAAAACAAACACTAATTGGCTATACATGGATTCAAAATAATTCACTCACAGAATAAGTAAATCTGTGATGTACACTTTAATTCATGTGGTCCTGAAATCTACTTCAGCTAAAATATCTCATAAAGAATATTATTCTTCTAAATAATAACTGCAATGTTTACTACTTAATCCTACCCTAAACTTAGAAATTTGAAACTGTTTAGCAAATACTAAATAATGATGTTGTTGTTTTCAGTTGAACATGGACACAATACCTTTTTTTACTTATTTATTTTATGTGGTGCTAAGGATCGAACTCAGTGCCTCATGTGTGCAAGGCAAGTGTTCTATCACTGAGCCACAACCCCAGGCCCCTGTTAAGTTTAATACAACTAGAACTCAATTTCAATACACAGAATGGGAGTTGGGATTATTATCTTTGTTCTTGTGGTGGCAGAAATATTTTTAAATGTTGGAAAACAATAGTCATCGAAGTTTTAAGTATTTAAGTCACTATGAGTGTTAAATATTTTATATGAAATATATATATCATTTTTAAACCACTTAAAACATCTCTGGTAAACTTCTATAACTGAAAATCCCATTTTTCAACTAGTTCCCAATAAATCTTTCAAAAAATTCTTCCCCAAAATCCAGACTGTGATAATCTACAAAATCCACTACTATAGTGGTGTTCTCCCCTCACAAACTTTTTCAGAAACATGAGATAGGCTGAAGAAAGCATCTCTTACCTACCTCCAAGAAGTCCACATCTTTCACTTTTTTTTTTTTAACTCAACTAAAACAACTCAGAACTGGGGACTACTCCAGAACAGCTTACTCATTTATTACAGATAAAATACAGTGAAATAAGGCAGGAAAAGGAAAAGGCATGTCAGTGAACAGGAAAAAAATCCACTAATATGGCCTTTCCTTTGTGCTTACATTCATTGTTTGTGATTCAGTTGTGAACGTAACGTTTAAAAAAAAAAAACAAACCTATGATTTTTGTAAAAACCACAATTCCTTTCAAGAGGCTCAAACGAGGTAGCCATGAGCTGTTTTAATTATTTACCAGGAAGTTATATATTAACTGGAGGTTCTGAGAAGGCATTTCCCAAGATTTTAACAAGGGTTTGACCGATTTTTGGGAGCTAGTATCTTTTAGCAAGTGCTGGTAACACTCAGGAGTTGTTGCTGATATTAGTTGGCATAGTAATGGATACCTAATGCTGTATTCTTCCACTATTTAATTCTTACTAGAAAACCAATAACTCTCAAAACTATATTCTACTTAACCATTTGTAAATATTATATATATAAATCACAATACATACTGACCTGAGTTTTTCTCCATCAAATGCCAATTGAGAAAATGTATGGTACCAACTAAAAATGCAAGGGGTCAAGTTCAAACAATCGTCCCTTGGTTTGTGAGCCATGTACTAAACAGCAGCTTTAGCACTCATTAACGATTCAATTAAAATAAGAAGTTCCGGTTTTGGTCAATGGTAACAAATTTAAACTCACTAATCTCTTCACTGAACAAGGAAATAAACAGGGATAAAGAAAAATCCACTGGGGTATGAAAAGGGAAAGCAAAAACTTTAAAAAACACTGGAAGGTTTTCTATTTGAAGTGCCTTTTCTCTCCCAAAGTAAAAGCCGCTTCCAAGAGAGAACAACTATGCCCAGGAACCAGCAAAGAAAAACACACGGTGGGGTGTAGACTGGTACAGATAAAGGCAGACAGGGCGGCCAAGAGCCAAATCAGTCAGGAAACCAGCTGCCCACCGGAAAGTCCCACCGGGTTCTTTCCCCCCTCCCAGAGGCAGACGACTGACTAAAGCGAGAAGAGAAGCGCCCAACACGCGCATGCGGATAGACGTCACGGCGTTCTCTCCTCCCGGCGGCGAGCCTGCTGCCGTCACGGGGCGGGGCCTGCCTGAAGGCGCCGCCGTTGACCCCGCTGTTACTAAGCGCGCGCATAGCCAATCAGGACCGGGCGCCAGCGCCGGCCGGCCTTTGAACTCGGCACGGCAACTTCCTGCTGTTTGGCGAGTACACAGTGCAATGCAGTATGTCTGTCAGCGCTGCGGCACAAAGGAACAGCCATTTTGTGACTGAGCTGGACCTCCACCAAGATGCCAGGGGCTCAAGAGCTGTTGCCTGCGTTAACTATCGAGCTGTCTATTATTTCAGCATCGGAGCACCAAAGACGAAGAGAATGGGGGGAAAAAAATGTTTGTGTAGTTCAGGTTTCGTTTATTTTCAGCCCTCTCAAAAAAAAATCCCAATTTTTAAAGTATTATCAGCGTCATAAAATGGCTGCCATTTAAACTGCCTGTTCCAATCCACAAGCACTGCATTATGCCATTTCTAATCATCCCCAACCTTTTAAACTAAGGGCGAAAAGGCTTATGAAAGCATAAGATTTTACTCGCACCTTGGGTTATCAAAACAAACCTGAATCAAAGGCAGACGATTTAGCCATAAATTTAATAAACTGTTTTTAAGTTAAAACTGCAAACGTAGCATCTTAGAATACAGAACTGTGTGCACACAGTTCCATCCATTTTCTTCTCCCCAGTTTTCTATTCTTTGATATTGCTTAAGTTATCCCAAGACAAGTGTACAGTACACTTTTTATGTCCATTGCCAACACTTTTAAATATTTAGAAATTTTTACAAATATCAAATGTTTTTAAAATCACATTTGTGAAAGAAAACTTTTTAATCTTCAAATAGTAAAATACAACGTATAACATATTAGAATTGAGCATTAACGTCCAAATAATACAGGCTTACATAATCACTATTAAGTATACAGGAGTTACAAATACAGAAAATACCAGGTTTACTTAAACTCACACACATTCCTTCGAGTTCCTAAATTAGTTCAGACCAAAGTTTACTTGACCTGCAAACTCCTTTACTGTCTTGTGACTAGGGCTACAAAGGTGATTCTCACAATATTCCCTAATACCATGCTTTGTGCCATAAAAACATGGGCCCTTACAGATTAATGACACAGGATCCAAGTACTAGAGGAACAATTCAATATCAGCTCACTAGAAGTAACAATGTACTACACTGAAGCAACACTAACATCCTTTAAGCTTTACAATTTTAAAAGGAAGTGATGTCATAATTATGTACATGTATTAATAATGTATGCAATTTAGAGTAACAGTAATTTAAAAGTAACTCCATCTTCTTGTCAAGGAGTCTCTAATATTTTTGGACATTCATCAGGTGTATGATTTACAGATAACTTGGCAAAAGGCTTTAAATACATGGCTTCTTATTCAGCTGTTAACTCCAAGTAGTCAAATTCATAACAACTTCCAAGTAGTTTTCTAGATGAGAGTAAAAATATTAAAAGAATGGCAGCACTGCTCAGTTTTCTACATTAGAAAGCATTGATCAATGAAGTTAACCACAAACCTTACATAAGAAAGCCAAAACCCATGTGAGACTATGCAAATCATACACTCAAGGGAGCAACATTTTAGAACTGAATCTTTAATAACCTGTCAAATATATCTGGGGAAACTATTTCTTCAAATTGTCATAACTTTCCAGAAAAATCAGTGTACGATTAGTAGTTTTTGTCCTACATATAACCTAGTAATTACATGGACAATTCAATTTGAAAGACATCCAAAAATTATCTCAATATGCAAAAGTAGTTTGCAAATATATTTTTAAAAGAAAGGTTCAAGATATTTTAGTCTAAAGCGAAAGTCAACATTTGGAATAAACCATATTCAAAACTTCCAAATTTACTATCCTAATAATTAGAAAAATAGTTACAGAAAAATAAAATCAAAATTGTGAAGAAAAAAAAAACACATAACCCATCACATTCTTGTTAACTGCATGATTTAAAATTTATAACATGACAATTCTTAAAAAAACATCCCAAAATGCATTCATGTACTTTTAAAAATTAAGATACAGAGATCATTTAACAAAAACATCTTAAAGAGTTTATTACTTAAATCACTAATAAGCTACTCCAAGGAATGTGAAACAAATTATGATTTGAACAAACAGTACATTTATAAGCTTCAGAAGATAAAGCATTCCAGGCGATTCTGTCGAAATAAATCAATAAATTTAAAGCAGCAACAACTAAGATATGAGGAAAAAATACTACATCTACCAAATAGAAAGCACAATCTTCGAAAGTATATAAATGTAAATCTTAAGTTATTTTAAATGTAAAATATACAATTATAAATAAAATCACAATACAAACACAAAGCAGAAGTATATTAACAGCATTCCAGGATTTCTGTGATTACAGGTTTGATTTCATAAATTCAGGAACTGCTACCAAGTAAAGGTTTTGATAAATCATCAAAAATTCCTAAATTGTCAAGTGTATCAAAAGAAATGTAGAGTCAAATAAAAATATAAACTGAGAGGCATCAGTCAAAGTGTCCTTTTTGCAATTTCATTTTTAAATGTACATTTTTTCATTCATATAACTTTCTCAAATGTCTATTTACTATAATTTACTACTACAAGGCTCCTCTATGGCCCTCAGTTACAAGTTTAGATATCCGAGATTCTTCAAAGAAAAAATTTGCCTTGTATGTAAAATGGTGCAATGCAGCAATGGCTAAACCGACAAGGTCATTTTTCTGCAGCACAAAAACCTAAAATCTGAAATTTACTAACAGAAAAACTGTAGTTTACAAGAAAGGCCCCTTTGAATAAAGGTACCTTACCTTTTGACTGCTCTAAGAGGCCTTAAGTCACAACTCAACTTTCACAAAATGCGACCAAAAAATTAGGGTGTGGCATATTAGCAATCTCAAGGTCACGCTTTAAAAAACTAATCCAAATCAGAAAAATACTTATAACACAGACAGCATTACATGTCTGTCAAGGTAAATAATTGTAAGCTGAGGTTTCCCCCCCAAAAAAAGACAAAAAGGAAGAAAGTTGATAGCTCATACCTCGATGCATTGCTGTGTAGCGAACTGTCCTCCTCTTGGCTTTTGTCCTTATTTCTCATCATCTTTTTAATTCTTAAATATTAAGGGGGAGGGGGAATCTGTTTGCTTTGAAGTCCTGTGCCCAGGTATTTACTGTCAAAAGTTGAAAGAAAGGTAAGGTCCCGGCTCCTATGGATGGTTTTTATTATCAGGAACAAAGTCCTGACGATGTTAATGATATTGTTATAATGCAACAACATTAAGCACCAAAATACAGAAATATTTCCATTTTTTCCTTAAAAAAAAGAAACAGGATAAACCAAACACTGAAAGCATCACTATCAATAAGGAAAGTTTCTCAAAGTAACACATTGGATACAAATAACAATCTCTGTATCTTATTGCGTCATCCAGGAATTTCTCTTATTTACAGAAAATAAAGCAAACTTTAACACATAAATCTTTGAAATTATCACTAATGATAGTGAACTTACCTGATCCATGTAGTAATGTCCAAAGCAAGAGTCCTATCTAGTAGTAGAAAAATATCAGATCCAAAATAATTAAAAATAAAGGCAAAATCCTCCTTTAAAAACGAAAAATAAATAAAATAATCCTCAAATATGTCAACTGTTCAAAAAATAAAGCAATAATTAATACTAAAACAGGTCCGGAAGAAAAAAAAACCTCATTAGGAGAGCGCACAAAAATGGAGGTGCGCCATGGCTTCTAAGCTGGAAAAAACAACGACCTGGGCTCTCAGTACGGCTGCTTCTTTCCAACAAGGCACGAAAAGAAAGCTCCTAAAAGCTGCTTTTCTCCCTAAAAAAGGTTCAAATCGACCCCAGTAAGTCACTAGGAGAGGCAGGGGGCTGCGGGGGCCCCCTGAGGCTGCCCGAAAGTTAGGGAAAGTTGCGTAAAGTGAGGCAAAGGCAGGGAGCAGAGCGCGCTCTCTCTAAGGCACAGCCGCCATCTAGAGCCTCCTTCCCAGCTCTGAGAGCTCTGCCTTTGATTGACACTCTCTACATTTACCCCACAACTCAGGTGATGTACCATAGACCCACCCCTTCATCTCCACCAAAAAAAAAAAAAAAAGATCCTCCATCCCAGGGAGCCTGAAGACCCCCACCCCCACACCTCCCTGCCCCTCCAGACCACCCCAACAGGGGGAGGGGGAAGGGCTTCTTAACCCCCTCTGGCTCAAGCACCCTTTTTAAGCCAGAAAGAAATGTAATTTGTTCCTTTTGTCTAAAGATCTGCTAAATATTTCAATCCTTGAGCTAAAATAACTTCCTCCCTGGACAGGAAGTGGTGTTTTATCAAGCCATTTTGAAATAGGGATAAATCTTGGAGAATCTAAAGCTTAGCTTAAGTACTCATCTTTTTAAAAAATTAACCCCCCATGGGTAAAATGTTTTCTAAATAAAAGTAAAACCTCAATTGTATAAATTAAATTGAAGCCTTGCATTCTTCATGATGCTTTAAAATCATTTAAAGACAAAGTTTAAGGGGGAATTTTCAATCCCAACTGGAAGAAAGGGGTAATTTTTACAACTCAAGAGCGCCTCCCTAGTGTTCACTTGCAGTAGAGCAAAAGTTAACAATCTTTTCCCAAAAATCTCAGTATTTCTTGGTACACAAAAATCATTAACCCATTATATAACCCTGGATCTTCACCCAACAAAACATTCTCAGTATTATATTTTCTTCCCACACTAATTTAGGCAAAACAAAGTACTTCAAATTCAAGAATAAGGACCAACCACGATCACCTTTAAATCAGAAACCCAAGAAACTCCATTTCCAAACATCAACAGAACATACACATCTCCCAACCATTTCCTTATTACTTCAATAATATACAAATGTTAAGTGTATACTCATCTCAACAATGATAGGTTATTAACAATAGATCAGATCTGATGGCAAGTTATCAAGGTAATGTCACAGAGCAGTCTCCTAAAGATCAAAACCATAAGATCTAAAGAAACAAAATTATTACTGTTGTCAAAAACTATTAGTCAATGATCTCATCAAGCATCCATGCAGACAACATATTCATGTCTCCTTTAAAAAAAACAAATCCACTCAACTTTCCTTACTCAAAATTATATTTTTGTCAGAACCATGTCCTTCCCTCACTACAGAAATCCATTTTAGATTTACAACCAACAAAAACAACAATGCTGAATCTAGATAAACATAAAATCCACAATTAAAACTCCTTCAATTCTACAAAAACTTCAGTATCAAAATCAAAATCCACATTGCACTTTGGAACATACACAAAGATCAAACAGCCCCTCATATCAATCAATCAGAACAAATACTACATGAATATTGACCATAGATTTGTCCACTATTATATTTGACATTAATCACAAACCCTGTATCTATTTCTAACAAAAAAAATTAACTTGAACTATTCTTCATTCTGCTATGAGAAAATATGATCAATGATTCATTTGTTCTATCAAAATAAAGCATATCAACTTAATAATATTATAGTAACTAAAACTATTATTAGTTATCAGCAACAAATGAGAACATGGTACTTGAAATTCAAACACAGGTAATAATATGGCATGGTGATTCATTTTAAATAACCAATTGTAACAATAAGACACAAGATACCAATCCTGTTTGAAATGTACATAAACTGTATTATACACATTACCACAAACTATTTAACGTCTTTTTGTATAGACCCTAAAGACACTTCCCTATAAATCCAACACATCTTCCCCCAATATTAAGACAATGAGACATCAGTTTAACTTAAATATTTAGATGAATATTCTATTGCAAGATGTTTTATTTGTAATATTAAAAAGCGAAGGTAAAGGGACCATTTCAATCAACAAAGGATAATTCAGAGAGAAATAACTGAGTTTGAGGGCAACAAACACTGTTTCAAAAGCTTACTAAAATATGATGGCACACTGAATATTCTCTGATTATCCATTGATTAACTTGTTTTGCAAAGTGTTTAAAAAAATAGAAATTCAAGGAATTCACCCAAAACATATAAACACAAAATCACATTTTAATCAAATGACCATCCCAAAGAACAAATAAATTTGTAAAGCTTAGTCAAAAACATTAAATCTTAATCAGCCAAATAAAACATTTTCCAGCACACCATTTTCATTTTACCAGCTTTATTCACTATACTTTACTGTTGGGCAACTGTAAAAGTCAAAGTGTTAATAAGGCAGTAACTGAACATATAAGACTTCTACTTTAAAAAAAAAAAAAAAGGCCCAAACTGAGAAATTTTTAAGTGTTAGAAATTTTATTAAAGTTAACATTCCATGAGGTCATGCTCAAAACAAATCAAAAGGCAAAAAATTCCAAACATACAAACTACCGTGCTGTCTTCTCCAAGGTCACAAATGCACTGGTTTTAATGATACAAAAGTTTTTTGAAAGTCAAATCCATTGTCCATTTGTGTTGGGTAAGAAACCTATATCTTCATTCATTCATTTCATGGAATCCATGTTAAAAGAACCCTGTCTTGGTTGTGTATTATCACAGCACTCTTGTATTAATCCATTTTCCTCATGTCCCCATAGTGGACTGCCATCTTGATTTCTCAGTGGTAAGGTCCATTTGAGACTCTTCAAGCTGACTGGGTGCTTGATAAAAAAAAAAAAATTAAAGAAAAAAAATGCTGTTGGAATACCAATAATCTTATTCCTTCAAACAGAAAACATCCGCCCACCATGAAAATATCCTACCATACCCCAAACTTTTAATTCCATTTACAGTTTACACTTATGAAACTATTATACTGAAGTTATATGCAAGGACTTCTAAAACAGAATCAATGAAAAAACTTACACAACTAAGTTCTTCTGTCAGCTACATTTGTATCTAATAAAAAGAGGCACTAGAGAGTCAAATTTTTAATACTTAATACTAGTATCATACTGGGTACACAAAAAGAAAGAACAAAAATTAAATTCAAAATTCCTGGAAAGCTAAAATTACAGAAACACTGTGGATTCTAAATCTCAATGCAGAAAAGTTTCCAAGTGCCTTCAAAGAAAACTAATTATAGAAAAGAATCTTAAGGGATTAAAAAAAAAAGCAGAAGATCATAGCATACTTTTCTAGTCTAACATGTTAATTTTGTTTAGATAAATACAAATGGCCTATATAAATGGCACCATTTTTACTTACACATCTGAAAATGCAGAAAATATGAAGCCACCAGGAAAAAAAAAATGAAAAACATAAAATGTCTACCTTGCTTATTGGGTATTTGCTTTAAAATGATATCAAATTTCCAAATTTTATACAACTAAATACTTTCAATGCCAAAATATCAAATGTTCCTCAAAGAAAAATAAAACTATAATTTAAATAATTTGGACTAATGGAACAGTGAGAAGCCAGGTGATTTTACCACTAAGAAAATTATCTGGATTCATCTTGATAAAACATAAATGCAAAAACAAGTTTCTACCCTTTCTTCTCTATAAATCTTACAACTCTCAATCTCAATTTACAGAGACAGGACTAACTTGTAGAAAAATAAATATAAAGTCATTTTTTGCTCATTGAATGTAAATTTCCATTTCTGACTATTATTAGGATATGTTGTCTATTACATAACAAAACCAAAAAGATCCTGCCACCCTATTAAAAAAGAAATGAGTGATTAATTGTTACCTTCAAAAGCAAGATATTTCTTAATAGACTTTGGAGTTCTCTCCTGTCTTAAAATGAGAAATAACTCACTCATTCCCATAATAAAGTATCTTCAATTTGTCTTATATATTTCTTAGAAATTAAGAAATGATGGCTATTTTTAATACAAACATACCATTCCCTTTGAGGGGGAAGGGCAATATCGACATTGAACCACTATAGGGACTCTGTATCACTTAGCCACATCCCCAACCCTTTTTTTTTTTTGAGATAAGATCTCACTAAATTGAGGAGGTTGGCCTCAAAATTTTGATCCTCCTGCATTAGCCTTCCAAGCAGCTGGGATTACAGGCATGCACCACTACCCCAGCTCCATCATTTCTTACTCACCGTTAATTATAAACCAAATTCTCCTCGATCTCTATTGTTACAATGAAGGATAAAGCTCTAAATTATATTGGTGATATAAATAATCATGATGCATAATGACACTAATTCATTAATAACATGTTACAATCACTAACAGCTACAGGTGCTATTTATTCATTTTGGTACATTAAATGAGAAACTCACTGGTTTATATCCTGCCAAGGAACAAGAGGTAAAACTTGGATGATAATATGAAATTTCTTTTCAAGACTATTATTTAAAAAACAAAAATAGTAAAAATATCAAAAGGCAATCAAATGACTTCAAAATTATTCAAAAAATGCACTATTATATGACAATATTAGAGTAGAAAATAGTAGCATTATTTGTCATACCATCACAAAAGCATATATTTAAGATAGAAAAAGAAAATTGTAAAGAAAAAATGCTACTAGAAAAAGCAGACAACTCTTATGACATTGTAAAGCCAAAATCAATCTAAACTTCTGCATATCAATACAAAGCCAAAAGTGAGAATTTTGCTAATAAGCAAAAGCACTAATACAAGAATCAGAACTAATAAAATGTCAATGAGGGATTCAAAGGTAATCCATTTATATTCATGGCGTTTCAAATTCTTATAAAAACGAAATTTGTAAATAAGTGAAGTTTTGTTAAAAAATGAGAAGGGAATTAGCCATGAGTTCTGTGAGGCTGAAAATTTTCTTGCTAACAAAATCCATAGATCATCTGTGAAACAGAAATAATCGTATTATCTACCTCTTCTGGCAATAGTAAGGATTAATTGAATTAGTGTTTGTAACACATTATATGGCATATAGAAAGATCTCAACAAATGTTGGCTATCGTCCCAATGTACCACTAAGCAGATTATTAAGCACCTCAAATACCAAATGAAAATAATTTATATTCAAAAGTAAGGCTACCTCAGAAGAACACATAGAATCGTAGGACCGATTATTGAAAAACAAAACACATTCCAATTTAATGAGGGAGTACTGTATTAAAATATAATCAGTATCCTTCAAAAAAAAACCTTGGATAGGTGTCACTTATCAAA